CTCAGAGCTAAAAATATAAAGTATGAATGTTATGTATTAGGTCATGAACTTTGGTTGTTGCTGTTTGATGAAACAAATGAGTTAGTTATGTCAGTCAAGAGAACAGAAAAAGGCGTCAAAGGCGCGAGCGCAAAGCGCTATATTGTGTTAGTGAAAACTGCACCAAGTCAATAAGATTAGGTTTGCATTATGAAGATGAGTTCGATACTGTTGAAGAAGTTTTGGATAGATATTACAAATTGCTTTAATTTACTAAAACATATTTCAAGCAAAGTTTATATTCTGTTGAAAGTTTTGTATACTCGTTCGAATATTTATACTTAAACTCAACTCCTGTAGTTCCTGGTGTTTCAATGATGCGGATGTTACCTATTTTTCATGAATAGTGGAGTTTGACCACAGCATTCGATTTCAGGGTCGAGATAGTCAATGACACATTGTTTCCCTGTTATTCGTGATATAACATTTTCAAGGTCCTCCTTTGTTAGAATTATTTTGGTTCTTACTTATAAGATTTGTCAAAAGCTTCTTATCGTCTTTGAGTAAAATTGTTTGGTATAATGAAGAAGGTAATGGTCTACGTTATCTGAAGGATTTGTTTGAACATTTGTGTAAGGGTTGTCGTTGGCTTCTCTTGAAAGAATTTGGTCCAGTGGTGGATACTCTAACTTAACATCTGATGTAGCGTTAGCGTTTGAAGCTGAGTTTAAATTCACGGATTTCAGCTCTGGTTCTTTTTCTTTCAAACACTCCGAACTATAGTTCTTTATGACAATATTGTTTGTCGTTCGTGAGTCAACATTTGATGTTGGTTCAATTGGAACATTAACGGCACCAGCTAAGATGGATTTGCTTCTCATTTCATATAGAATAAAAACCTTTTATATGTATGAAATGAACAATATACTCGACAAGGGTTTGAATGTAAAGCTAACGAATGAAAATATTGTTGAATTCACTGAGACAGGAGCTGTGTATAAAGATGTAGAACTACTGAACAAAAGAGCTAAGGAAGAAGCAGGAACATGAACAAAGGGTGGAAGCCTATAAAAATTTATGTCAATGATGGCTCAGGAGGTTCAAACATAAAGTATGCAGAAAGTTATAGAGTTTATGCTCTCAAAGGTGAAAAGCCTTCATTTAAGAACAGCTATTCTAACGCATATCCTCAAAAGTTAACAGATGGGGAAGTGGATGATATGAATGACAGCAAAAATATTAACAGAAATGGCGACAGAGATGCATGGAATTTGTTTACCATCAGTCAATTGAAGGTTAAACTTTAAAACAATGTTGGTCGTTCCCATGGAATATTTTTGACTTTAATGGTATTAGTCATGATATGAATCTCAAGGTATGAACGAGGAGAGATGAGAGACTTATATGCTTCCCAAATTTCTTCAAAGGTAATGTTATACCTGACTGTTTCCAAATGAGTTCAATATCATAACGTGAGAAACCTTGAAAGATAACGAAGTCAGTTATGAGACGTTTATGTTTAAAGCAAGGAAACGCCATGTTTGCATAAGTATTGCTACAGTTAAAGTGGTAATGTCTGACTTTAGTTATGATGTTAGCTAATGGTGAGTCTGCTTTTGACACTAAACCTTTTCCGGCGAAGTCGTCACAAACGAGCAGAGTGTTTGAAGGATACTTTTTGAAGGGGTATTTTGAAAGTTTTGATAGAATGTAGTTTGTCAGTCGTTTCATATCATAAACTCCTGAGTATTGACGTAAGTGGTGTTTGTCAATAATTCTTTCCATCTCTTCTGAAGTCTTTTGCATTCCTGACTGTATGAACTCTACAATAGCATAATATTTTCTCTTACGTCGAATGTAACGTTGAAGAAATTCAATGAGTTCGCTATCTGGAACTTTAACGACAGAGGCTTGAACTTTTGACATAAATGTTTTCGCTGTTGATCCATAGAGTCTGAAGTTGCTGATATAATGATTTGGTCATAGTAGAGTCATTTCCTAAACGTTCTGTTATGAGTATATGACGAATGAGGTTAAATGTCTTACCTGAACCCATCTTTCCACAATAGAAATACACACCATTGAACAGAACTCATAGTCTTACTGAAAGGAGAATGAGAGAAACTGTTGAGCTTTTCTGCTTTCATTCATGTCTTCATCTACGTCATGTATTAAATGCTTCATTTTATCTTCATTAAAAATGCAAGTCAGAAATATTCAGAACATAGCACCGAGTCTAACTGACAAGAGTATAAAGATATACTATGAACACGTTATGATGAAACCAACCAAAATTCAAGAAAGTCAGTATACTTATGAATATCCAAGACACTGGGTAGAGTATGTAGGAGGTGAGAAAGCTATTGAAATAAGACAAGTTAGAAGTATTCCAGCAGGAAGAACAATATTATTGAAAACTTTAATTTTTGAGGTATAATGATGAAACAAAGAAGCAAGATAGTTTCCTGTTGCTGTGTATGTGAACCTAGACACAGAAGATGACATGAAAGTTTTTAACACAAAGCTTCAAACGGTAGTGAGAGAACAACTGACTGCGGAAGGACATCCATTACCTTCAGAAGTTACCATAGCGTATAATTTTGAAACAAACTCAATAGATTTTAAAGTCGTCTCTGCAAAGAAGTCAGGTTTTACATTTAATGAAGCAGATGTATATTCGAATGAAAACTTCAAAGCTATTGCATGGTTAGATAATGACGATTGCTTTAAGAAAATATTTAAATTCAGTGACTCAAAGATGTCAATAGATGACCTTCGTGGAATGTTACCATCGACGTTTACAGTAGAAGGTTCAGCAGGATTGCTTACAAGATTGTCAATTGGTGGTATTTGGTCTCGTGAGAACATTGTTATAAAATCCAGTATAAGTGAATTTGCTGAAGAATCTATATTATGTCTTTCAAACTACATGTATTCGCCACCGAAGCATTATAGTATAACAAACTTTGTCAGTAAGTTTAACATAAGACTTGTCGAACCTTCTTCAATGAAAGATGTTGTGCTACCAAAGACGGAAAGGATGGACTCATTATTGAGATGATTTTAATAGCATATTAAATGAGCTTGTTTTTAAAGGTCATTCATGATGAAATAACTGTTGTAGAAGATGTTAGCAATTGTTCAGACATTTTGAAGCGTATAGATGAGATAAGAAAGAAGTTTATGAATGAGAATGTTTATGTTTCATTGACTTTCTCCGGTAACGAGAACTTTTATGAGATAATATTGAAGAGAGATGATTTTAATATGGTGTAAATGGTAGCTTGGGCAGCTTTAGGCGCAATGGGAACAAAAGCATTAGCATTTGGAGCAAAAGCACTTGGGGCTTATGACGCAGTAAATAAAATGAGTGGAGGAAGAGTTTCGAAGACATTAGATGCAAATAAAGGAAAGATTGGAGGCTGGGTTGCAAAGAAGTTAAGATTAAATAAAATAGGGCTCATAAATAAAGCATCCAATTTAGTTGCGACTGAGTCAGAAAATGCTTTAGGAAAGGACGATGAGTTTGCAAAACACGCAAAAGACTTTAATGACCAGATGAAAGGTGAAACAATGCATTTAAATAGAGTCGATGGAACTCTTCCTCCACCAGTAGTTCTTCCGTATGGTCCCTATGGAATGTATGGAAACCCTTACGAAAGACCATTTGACCCATTGACTGGTGGAAGTAATTGGTATCATTACGGCCGAAGAAGAAAGACAGTCAAGTTGGAGACAGACGTGAAGAAAGCAACTAAAAAGAAACCAAGGAAGAGAGTTATAAAGCAATGAATTCAACAGGTTAGAAAAGAGGTTAGATATCGGGTTAGATCTAACATTCTAACATAAACATTATTTTTTCACCTCTGACAACGTTTATTTTTAAGTTTATTTTATTATTTAGCGAGAACGTTTATTTTTATATAAATGACGAAAACTATTGAGATAACAAACTACAACGGTCATGAGTTCAAGAATTTGTTCTTCGTTCCTCGTGAAAATACATTCTATCAGATACGAGGGAGAAAGGGTAAAGTTAGTTTGAGCGTTTATGAAGGAATGAAGAATGGAAAGTTTATACAAGCATACGATACAAACGGTAAACGTGTTTCATTAGCTTTGTCAAAACTTACTAACATTTATTTTGACAGTGATTTTGACCTATATGAAGAAGAAAGTGAGTCAGAAGATTATGAGCTGTTATGTGAAGCACAGCAATGGGAGGAGTTGCAATACTTTTGTAAGTGAGAACGTTTATTTTTACATTAATGAAGTCGTTTGTGAAAACGTTTATTTTTTCATTAGTGAGGTGAAGTGGTTGGCGGCTTTATAAATATTTAAGGTTAAGTTAGTGTTGTCGTTTGTGTTGTAAAATATACGTTAACGGTTTCGTAAAGTGTCAAAACCGCTAAGTGGTGTACGGAGGCGCGCAGTGCCTCAGTACACATGATATGTATACTAACTTTAGCTAGAAACTAATGAGATGTTTTCACAAATCAGATTTTTAATCTCTATAATGCATAATTCACTCAATATCTCAATTTTGATATTGTGAGATATTTTTGCTATCGGTTTAGCAATTTTGACACAATAGCAAGAGGGTTCTATAAGCATTATTATCAACGTAGAATCTGAATATCATATCAGAAAATGTCGCAAATCTGACATTTACCCGACCAAATAGCAAAAATAATTGAATACTTTTCGCAAAAACTTTAAAAATCGATAAAAATATGAAATATAGATATTAAAGAGACTTTTTATATAATATTCATAAAGATTTTCCAAAAATATGATACCGCAAAATTAAAAAAGTGACGTCTTGAGTGGAGTCAAAGGTCGAAATTGCTAGCTAAATGTTTTTTTAGCGAAATTGCGTATTGTACGTTTTTTTCGCAAAACGAAACCCTTATATTTATGGGATTAAAAAGTTTAGGAAGCTTCTCCCCATTAAATATGAATGTCCATAAAATTTTCAAGTCACAATTAATTGAATGGAAAATAATCGGTAGATTTTTGCTATGAATATATCCGAACTTTATCAACTTAGTCTTCAAACAACAGGTGTTCAACAAGCCACAGCGACATTACTTGAAATATATAAAGACCCTGCAAATTTCTCAGCAATTCTTGAAACTTTAATGAATGACCAAAACCAAATTACGCGCCGCCAAGCAGCAATTGGTCTGAGAACAATGCTATCTATGCATTGGGAAGATTTAGTTGCTTCAGGGCAAGCTGATGCGCTGAAATCACAAATTTTGACAGCTCTAGTTAATGAACCAATACAAAAGAACAGACACGCTATCATTGATGCATTTGATCCAATTTTACGAGATTCAAAACTTGAATGGCCAGAATTAAGAAATTTTGCAGATTCACTGTTATCCTCCGATGATATTGATCAGCAAGAGGTTGCACTTACAATATACGGTGTATTAGCCCAAAATATGGACATTAGCGAGCTCTCTACCCATCTTTCAACCCTTACAGATTTAATTTTAAATGCATTACGTTCAGGAAACGAAGATCTTACAATAGCAGCTGCACATCTTACTCAGAAGCTCACTCTCGTATTCGAAGCGCCTGCTCCAAGCGAAGTTCAAGTCTGTATCGCCTCAATTTTACAACTTTTCAAATTTTACCTTATAAACGAGTCCCCTATAACATACAAGCTTGCCAATGAAATTGGTGAGTGTGCTTCTCAAAATAGCTGCATAGAAGCTAATTCTTTCTTAACAAATTTACTTGAATTGGCAAACGACGAAGAAATTCCTGAAGGACAGATCTATATCATATTTACTCCTATAAGTGCAACAATCTACAACAAGTTTGATGACATTGGAGAAGATTTAATTCCAATAATAATTCAATCTATGTTAACAAACGTTGCAAGATGCTTTATTGAGACAGAAAGTGCTGAAGCACAAAGTGATGCATATTATATATGCGATACACTATCGGATCTCATTAAAAAATCTTCAGATTCGACTTCACTTTTTGAAAACGTCATTTCTGAGGTAAATGAAAGCTCTTACGGTAACATTTTCGCAGGGGCATATTTAATACAGATATTTATTGAAATGGCGCCTGAAGTTTGCGGTCATCATATTAATTTTATCATGGAATTCCTTACAAAACAGATTGACACAGAAAATGGATGTCCTGCTGTCATGGCCGTGGTATTCCAAGCATTACAAGTCTTCATAAGAGTTTTTAATGCTGGATTATCAGATTATTCTTCAATTTTACTTAATGGAAGCCTTTTGGCCGCCCAATTAGATGACGAAACAGTTGAATATAGTGCATTGAACATGTTACAAGAGCTTTTGACCACAATTGACGTAAATGTTCCGAATATTCCAGAATTCTTAGATACTCTTGTTTCAATTGCAGGTGCAAGAACAGGAGGAGTTAGAGAACGAGCTCTTTTTGCTGTCCATGCTTTCATTTTCGCTGCAGGAGAAACAATTCGAGATTTGGCCCCAAATTTGTATCAAGTTTTTCTTGATGCAATGCAAGAAGCTGTTACATCTGAAGACTACAAGCTCATTGGTACCTCTCTCCGTGGCTTAGCAACACTTCACAAAGCATGTCCTGAAGAAATGTCTTCATTCGCTCAGCAAACATTACAGACCCTCACGGAATCGTTACAGAGCAATGAAATATACGTAATTACAGCCGCACAAACCGCTGCAGTCATTTTATCTGATATTCCTATGGAAGGATCTCTTCAATTCCTTACACAGGCTGTTGAATCGGCCTTTAACTTGCTTCAGACGCCTCTTCCCTCTAACGATAACGAGGACGAAGCAGAAATTGATAATGAATTTGAGATGATGAGCGAAGAAATGAGAGAAATGATTGAACTGAAGGCTTGCTGCTTAGATTTAATCATTGCAATATTGAAGAACCATCCAGAAATAATACAACCAGCTGCCGAACAATTAATTGAACATTTAATTGGACTTGCCAACAATATTATCGATGAAGACTTATCATCTTTGTCTATTGAATGCATCTCAATCATGACAAACAAATTCAACTTAGACAAAAATGAAATTTTGGCTCAAATTTCTGATATCTTTTCTTCTCCTTATTCTTCAACAGTTTCCAAGATATTTGAGATGGCAGCATCATTTATTAAGTCAAACAGCGATTTCGGCAACGCACAACTCGAAATGTTGCTTGAAGAAGCAAATTCTGCGATTGATTTAGAGTTGCCATCGACAGAAGAAGCCAGAGATGAAACAGTTGAGGCCATTGATAGCGCAGTTAAGTTCCTTTGCAAGATTGCTAAGTATAAACCCGAATTATTCCAAAAAGATAAATTTATTGTCAATGCAAGGAAATTAATGAAGAAGAAAGGCGGAAATGAAATAATATTAATAAGTTATGCCACAATTCTTGGAAAATTCTTCTTAATTCATGCAGAAAATTTGCAATCAATAGAAAGGAAGACAATTCTACAGATCCTTACGAATTCATGCAGTTTATGCGATGGATTCATTAATCCAAGACCTTTGAAGATGTTTGCAAAAGTTTTGGACAAATATAAGGAAAATATTTTTCAACCAGCTTTGGCATTTATTGAAGATTTCATTGATTTTCCAACAGATTGTGTTGGAAGACCATATCACAAAGAAACAATTGCTTACATTGCAACGATTTCTTTGTTATTAGCTAATTACAGCGATTTCGACATCTCCGATTACATTTCCGCTGTTGTTTATGCACTGCCCGTAACAATTCCTCATATATCTAACATATATTATGCAGGATTGGAGCAGTTTTACAAACAAGCATCGAAAATGCTCGACGAAGATACGGCCACGAGGATTTTCTCCGGCTTATTTAAGCTGTTTACATTGAGCGCGTCCGAGTTTAATGAGGTTAAACTAACAATTGAAGCTGCGAAATCTGCTGCCTTCGTTGCTTCATCATTACTCAATGCAATGGGTGGAGAAATCAACGAAAATACAAATCAGGCAATGATTGAAAGATTCCAAAAGAGATTATCTCGTTACGCTTAGAAAAATTTAATTTATTTGTTTATTTTTATCAATAGAGAATAAAGCATAAAGACTTTCTTATAAGAATTTTTACTATAAAGCTTGCATACATTACTCTATCAAGTTGTTCGGTTGGAAATTAGAACGAATCTCTTATTTTGACCATAAAATATAATCTTTGCATCGAGTTTTAGCGAACATATTAATTGTTATAATATTCGATGCACTTTGTATGTCTCTGTTACGATTTACATCATTTTGGAGAATTTTCAGTAACGTAGTGTCAGAAATTGCTTGGCAAAAATGTCAAACATATTCGATTCTACTACATTGATAAAATTTTGATAAATTATTATTTGAGAGAAAAGGCTCAGTTTTCTCAGAAAAAAACCGAAATATTGAATTTGTTTTGATCCACTAAAATTTTATCTAGACCACTTAGAGATTTCGCATGAAAGCGCTTGATAACACTTTAGCGAAGCTATTTATCACAACAATTCGCCAAATTAATTATTTGAGGAATTTCATTTTTTTAATTTACACTCTTGCTATGCTTAACAGTATCAAGAAAAAGAGCGCAATGACATGTTCAGAGTTTCACCTCTTTGATCTGAATGATAAAGTGATCATTCCAATAGATGCCGACGGGAAAAAATTACCATTGGCATGTTGGATGCATTTTAAGGCCGAAAAAACGAAACCAAAGATACCGTTACTTGCTATACATTTCTATTCTACACCCCATCCAGATCCACAGACTAAATTAATTCTTGATGAATTCTGTAACAAGTACAAACTGGATATAAAGTATGTCCATCATAAAGAAGTTACTAACAGGGATGAACTTTATAATATGTACATTGAACAAGCTATGATCCAAGGATATAATAAAATTGCAATTCCAGATACAATTGAAGCCATCAATGCTGCAATGCTTGCGAAAATGTGTGATGAAGGTGTTTTAGATGCTCCGGATCCAAAACAGGAATTCCAGATCAATGATAATACGAGTATATATCTAATAAGGCCTTTCTGCTACTGTTCAAATAAAAATATTGAAGAATACGCACAGAAGAACAGTTTCAAAGTACATCCTGGTGGAATCAACCCACCAAATGAAAATTCTTTAGATGCTAGCACAGACGCTCTTAATATCCTGTATAAATTTTCTCCAAATGTATCAGTGAACTTCTTTCACTCACAGTTCCATGTTGAAGAGAAATATCTTGGCGGAGGAGATGGTGCTATTCATGAAATGATGAGTTTTGATGAAAATACATGAGAAATATGTAAGAGATTTTCATACATTTTTATATTATTGTTTGTATAATTTTTAGATAATAAAAAAATTAAATCTATCATCAATGATTTCACATTTTCTTTTTACTATAGAGCACAGGAAATACTATATATCCCATAACAGCTTTTGACCCACTTTAATTATTTTGTAATTGAGGATTTATTATACACAATGCAAGTAGAAACTCAATTTTTAAACTCAGCAATTACGTACTTTTCACAGTGTATGACTCTAAAACAACCTTAATTTTACCGATATGCACTTTTTGTAGAACGGTTTCTAAAAACCGATTTTATTTTAATTAGCTGAGTGATCATATTGTTAATGCATCGGGAAGTATTATATATGAGTTTGATACATCATATGCTGGAAGCATTATCATTACAAACACCATATACAAAACAATTTCCAATAACGCTTGTATTGGTGGTTTATGCACATCATTAGATCTATCACAATCAAAAATTGAATATATAGAAAACTCAGCATTCCTTTTCTGTAGGAATCTTGTAACTTTCATTTTACCTGATTCTCTAATTTTAATTGGAGCTAACACTTTCGGTGAAATATCTATCTCATTTGTGCATTTTGGACCAAATTTAAGAGAATTTAGTGGTTATTCATTTAACCAATGTCTGAATTTGAATACATCTTCTATCGATGAAAATAATCAGTACTTTACAGTTGTCAATAACTTTGTTTTCAGTAAAGATATGACTAAACTTGTTCGAACCCCTACTATTTTTGAAGAAGAAGACATTCCCAATAAAGAAAGAATTACTATATTAGGATTCGGTTTTGAATGCGGATCTTCAATTCATAAATTTAAAGGTTGGGAAAATTTAAGTAAAATTGAAGATGTTGGATTTCATGCTAATCCTCATTTAGAAATTATTGATGTATCTAATACAAAAATTACGAAACTGTCTATATTTGCATTCCATGGTTTAATAAATTTGAAAACGTTGATATTACCTATTAGATTAAATGAACTAAGAAGTGATTCCATCTCACAATTGCCAAAATTATATTTGTTATCTCTTCCCTCTTCCATAAATCTTATAGCTGATCAAAGTTTTAGTAATTTAAATAATTTGAGAGTTGTTTGCTATTATGGAAATATATCGTTTTCAGGAAAGAATTTGTTTAATAATTGTCCGAATGTGAAATATATTTGTGTTTGTCCTTTGTATCCATCGGAGAAATTTTCATCATTTAATGTTTCATTCGATGCATTTCAGCTCGGTGAGACTATGATAACATGTTCCTCAATCAAAAACATTCCATGTTCTTCCACCTTTCCCTTTATTAGTTATTCTGTTTTCATTTTAATCTAAAATTAACTATTATTTTTGAACAATGAAATTATATTTATATGTTATTATCTTGGTTTGAATTTTTTTAACTCCAAAATTGCAAAAGTGACAAAATATTTGACAAAAATATAAAATAACCGTTGATAGAAAAAAATTTAATGTTCCCGCTTCTCTAGATTGAGCGAAAATATTATTAATTTGTCAGGAAGTATCATATATGAGTTCAATAAAGCTTATACTGGTAATATTGTTATTACTAACCCTGTTTATAAAACTATTTATGATCGGGCGTGCCTTAGATGTAATTGTGCATCATTAGATTTATCTAAATCATCTATACAATACATTAATGACGAAGCATTCTTTTTTTGTTATAAACTGACAACTTTAATATTGCCAGATTCTTTAATTACAATTAGGAGGAATACTTTTGCAATAAGTCCTATCTCATCTGTGCATTTTGGACCAAATTTAAGATATTTTGATGGCTATTCGTTTAACCAATGTCCGAATTTGAATACATTTTCTATCGATGAAAATAATGAATATTATACAGTAGTAAATAACTTTGTTTACAGTAAAGATATGACTAAACTTGTTCGAACCCCTATTATCTTTGAAGAAGAAGATATTCCTAATAAAGAAAGCATTACTACTTTTGGAAACAGTTTCTGTTCCGGAGCTTTAATTCATAAATTTAAAGGTTGGGAAAATTTGAGTAAATTTGATGAAATTGGATTTCATGTTAATCTCAATCTAACAGTCGTTGACTTATCTAAGACTAATATAACTATACTTCCTAAATTTGCTTTTCATAATTTGCTTAAAATTGAGAGGTCATTTTCAAATAGTCGTAATTATCAAATCGATTTTTTAAGCATTTACACTAACAGAATTCAAAAATTATTTATAAAATGTAATATAAATATGATTAGATATGGACATTACCATATAAATTTTGCACTTTACTGATAACCTTAATTTAAAAATCTCTCTGAGCGAGGCTATTGTTGATTCACAAGGGGAAAGAATTAAAAAGTTTAATACATCATTCACAGGAACTATTAAAATCACCTCTCACGTATACACTATCATTGGAACTGAAGCTTGTTCCAATTGTTTGTGCACTGGACTTGATTTAAGCCAATCTTATATAGAGGTAATTGAATCTGGTGCGTTCTTAAGGGCTAAACTTACAAGTATTATCTTCTCGCCTTATGTAACAACATTAAATGAAAATACATTTGGCCTATGTCCTATTACATCAATAAATATTGTATCCTCCATGAGATATATGACAGGATTTTCATTTAATCAATGTCCTTTCCTAGATATTCTGACCGTTGATCCACAAAATCCATATTTTTATTCTGAAAATAATTTTATTTTTTCGAAAAATGGAGATACATTAGTTCGCACTCCAATTAACTTTGAAGAAGAAGACATACCTCATAAAGAAAATATCAAAGTGTTGGGCAGGTGCCTCAGTAGCGGCAGTACATATAAACAGTTTATTGGATGGGAAAATCTTTCGAGAATTGATGGATTTACATTTCATGCAAGTCCTAATCTGAAATTAGTTGATTTATCAATGACCAATATCACTTCGATTCCAGAATACTCATTTAGGACGTGCCCCATATTAACTGACATTCGACTTCCTGGAAATCTAACCAGTTTGCAAAATTATGCGTTTCACATCAATGACAAACTTAGATCAATTTTTCTCCCAAATAAAGTTTCTGAAATCAATAAATTTGCTTTTAATCAATTACCTAATCTGAGATTATTAACTTATTACGGCGAAACATCATTCGATGCCCTTAATATAATTAATGAATGCCCTCTGTTAAAAACCGTTCGCGTGATTTTTACATATCCTTCAGATAAATTTGGGGGAATCAATGTTGTAAGAAACGCTTATATGCTTGGAAATAGCGAATTATGTCCATCTATAAATTATAAAAGTAGTATGTTCAATTTTAATTCAATTTCGTTATATACTGTTTTTATCTCAATGTAAAGATATTTATACAGGGTGTCCAAAGGTGTGTTTAGCACAAACCTGAATACTGCGAATAGAAATAAACAAGTTACATATATATAAAGTTTATTTAAATATAATCACCATTGGATTCAATCACGCGTTCGCAGCGATCGATCCAGGCTTCAAAGACACGCTTTAAATCATCATGAGAAAATTGCTCAAATTGCTCTCTTACAAAATTTTCAAGATCATCTGGACTCGCGAATTCGCGTCCTTCAGCTCTCTTTTTTAGCGTGCCGAATAAATAAAAGTCAGAGGGTGCAATATCAGGTGAATAAATTGGGTTTGGAACAACTTTGACATTGTTTTCCACCAAGTAATTCATTACCTTATGACTTTTGTAAACTCTTGAATTATCAAAATGAATTGCAAACTTTTGTTTTTGTTGTTTGGATTTCTCAAACTCATCAGAATTGATAATTTGAGTAAGAACATTGTCAATTAGATACTGAGCATTCATCGTATTAGGTTTTTGAAGAATATCAATTGCGATGATGCCATTCACGCCCCAAAAAACCGACAACATCATCATTGGTGTGTCAATTTTTTTCTTCGGGAATGTTTGCGGATCTTCATCCTTCGGGATCCACATGATTTTGGCTTCTGTTGCATATTGAAACCAAGACTCGTCCCCTGTTACTAAAAAGCGAAACTTCTTGGATTGATACGCACCCAATATAGAGAGGAGCTCTTTCGAAGATTGGACTCTAGATTTTTTTTGAACTGAATTAAGGTTGTGCGGAACCCAACGTGTATACGCTAGTTTGTAGTTCAAATAATTGTGCAGATAATAACTGACTGTTGTACGTGGTATCTTTGTCATCTCCTCTATCCTTCTGAGTGATGCTCTTGGGTCTTCATCTAGCGCTTGAAGAATTGCTTTGATTTTTCTTTGATCCGGCGATTTTTTGTCAATTTTTATGATGGGCGCCTTTTTGTTCATGAAGTGATACATCCTAACATGATACGTTACAGTGGAATAGCTAGGAGAATCCATACCGAAGCATTTTACCAATGTCTCGTAGATTTTTTACAGTCTTTGCATTTTTTTGCAAGAGCGCGGATGTTTTCTTTATGATTCATTAAAAAAATGAAAAAAATCCCGCCAAAATTTCCCGCGAAACCGCCTCTTGTCTCAAAATTCATTTTATATCCCGGCATGGCGCCAAAATACAACTTACTCATCATATACATATATTCATATTTTTTATTATATATTTATAATCAGCATATATCTCCTTTAATAGTCTCATATAGAGCGCTGTGCTAAACGCACCTTTGGACACCCTATATTTACTCTATATAATATCAGAGAACATTAAAGTAAGAATCTCTGCAGCTTTTTCATTATGTGGAATTGTATCTGTCCAGTTACCATCTTCCATCATATAAATTTTTTGTATCAATTAATTGAAATAGAAAATCAAGATTCTGTAATATCAATATATTAAAAAGCCTTTGTCAATTGCATCAACATTTATTCTAGATTTATTTCATTCTGAGGCAAAATACTTCTACGAAATTTCACATATCCAGATGATACTACACAATACTAATTCTCGAATTCTATTGGCAGTAACTCATTCAGCAACTTAATTAATTGATACAAACTTAAATCTATCATCAATGATTTCACATTTTCTTTTTACTATAGAGCACAGGAAATACTATATATCCCATAACAGCTTTTGACCCACTTTAATTATTTTGTAATTGAGGATTTATTATACACAATGCAAGTAGAAACTCAATTTTTAAACTCAGCAATTACGTACTTTTCACAGTGTATGACTCTAAAACAACCTTAATTTTACCGATATGCACTTTTTGTAGAACGGTTTCTAAAAACCGATTTTATTTTAATTAGCTGAGTGATCATATTGTTAATGCATCGGGAAGTATTATATATGAGTTTGATACATCATATGCTGGAAGCATTATCATTACAAACACCATATACAAAACAATTTTCAATAACGCTTGTATTGGTGGTTTATGCACATCATTAGATCTATCACAATCAAAAATTGAATATATAGAAACTCAGCATTCCTTTTCTGTAGGAATCTTGTAACTTTCATTTTACCTGATTCTCTAATTTTAATTGGAGCTAACACTTTCGGTGAAATATCTATCTCATTTGTGCATTTTGGACCAAATTTAAGAGAATTTAGTGGTTATTCATTTAACCAATGTCTGAATTTGAATACATCTTCTATCGATGAAAATAATCAGTACTTTACAGTTGTCAATAACTTTGTTTTCAGTAAAGATATGACTAAACTTGTTCGAACCCCTATTATCTTTGAAGAAGAAGATATCCCTAATAAAGAAAATATTACTACATTTGGAGTCGGTTTTGATTCCGGAGCGACACTTCATAATTTTAAAGGTTGGGAAAAGCTGAGTAAAATTGAAGATTTCGGATTTCATGCTAATCCTCATTTAGAAATTATTGATGTATCTATGACAAAAATCACTGCACTGCCTAATTTAGCATTCTGTGATTTGGATAATTTGAAAACATTGATATTACCTGCTAAATTGAATGAACTTAAATTTGAATCCATAACTCATATTCCAAAATTGTATACATTATCTCTTCCTTCTTCCATAAATCTTATAGCTGATCAATGTTTTAGTTATTTAAATAATTTGAAAGTTATTTGCTATTATGGAAATGTATCGTTTTCAGGAAAGAATTTGTTTAATAATTGTCCGAATGTGAAATATATTCGTGTTTGTCCTTTGTATCCATCAGAGAAGTTTTCATCATTTAATGTTTCATTCGATGCATTTCAGCTCGGTGAAACTATGATAACATGTCCTTCAATCAAAAACATTCCATGTTCTTCCACCTTTCACTTTATTAGCTATTCTGTTTTCATTTTAATCTAAAATTAACTATTATCTTTGAACAATGAAATTATGTTTATGTGTTATTCTCTTATGTTAAATATCAAAAATGGTTTGAATTTTTTTAACTCCAAAATTGCAAAAGTGACAAATTATTTGACAAAAGATAAAATAACCGTTGGTAGAAAAAAATTTTAATGTTCCCGCTTCTCTAGATTGAGCGAAAATATTATTAATTTGTCAGGAAGTATCATATATGAGTTCAATAAAGCTTATACTGGTAATAATTATATTTGTGCAATGGCTGTTAGGCGCAAAAAGTGACACTCATATATCCACTCGGTGCTTTCTTCACAAGAGTTCCGAGCGGCGATATCCCTAAAGCACCCATCGTTCCATGTATAATTATAATACTCATTCTGTTTAAGTAAAACTTTAAACAATAAGATCCTATATTTATATTTTTATGACTTAAATTTGATTCATTCGGCTCTGGCCAAATAATTCAATTCGTCGAATTATTATAAAATTTCAAAATTCAGGCGAGCGGATACATAGAAAAGAAAACCTTAAACAATTTGTGAGCATGTCAAAACGTTGTAATTGTTCCGAAATTCATCGAGGATCGTAGAGATACCCTATTGCCAATTAAAAAAATTTAACATCTTAATAAATTAAGGGTAAAGAACACTTTTCACCTGAAAAATGCAAGAAGATTCAGCTGGGAAGAATATTACATCACTCAAAATAAAAATGAAAAGACACAACGGAGAAGATCTATTTGATACGACAAGTGATAATAATTATTATGTTTTTCTTTTTTTTATTTGAAGATTGCAAAGAAAATGGTGCAATTTTTATTGTTGTTCCAATTGAAAACTGTGCACTCATTGAAGACTCTACATTTATTGGCTGTAGAGCAACAGATGCAGGTGAATCTCTTACCTATAGCTGTGAAGAAGGACAAATTGTTCAGCAACGAACTTGCTATTTTGCGTCAAAAGCTGACCAATATATGACATTTGTGCAGAGCGGTAAAAACTCTTCTTTTTATAAGGACTACTTATTTGAAATTTCGGTTTCGGAATGCAGCATAAATGAGGCAGAAGGACGCTGTACAATTAGCATTGGATATGGCGATATTTCCAGCCAAAATGTACTGGAAAAAATTTGACTTTAGTCCTAAAATTAATATAGGGTGTCCAAAGGTGCGTTTAGCACAGCGCTCTATATGAGACTATTAAAGGAGATATATGCTGATTATAAATATATAATAAAAAATATGAATATATGTATATGATGAGTAAGTTGTATTTTGGCGCCATGCCGGGATATAAAATGAATTTTGAGACAAGAGGCGGTTTCGCAGGAAATTTTGGCGGGATTTTTTTCATTTTTTTAATGAATCATAAAGAAAACATCCGCGCTCTTGCAAAAAAATGCAAAGACTGTAAAAAATCTACGAGACATTGGTAAAATGCTTCAGTATGGATGCTCCTAGCTATTCCACTGTAACGTATCATGTTAGGATGTATCACTTCATGAACAAAAAGGCGCCCATCATAAAAATTGACAAAAAATCGCCGGATCAAAGAAAAATCAAAGCAATTCTTCAAGCGCTAGATGAAGACCCAAGAGCATCACTCAGAAGGATAGAGGAGATGACAAAGATACCACGTACAACAGTCAGTTATTATCTGCACAATTATTTGAACTACAAACTAGCGTATACACGTTGGGTTCCGCACAACCTTAATTCAGTTCAAAAAAATCTAGAGTCCAATCTTCGAAAGAGCTCCTCTCTATATTGGGTGCGTATCAATCCAAGAAGTTTCGCTTTTTAGTAACAGGGGATGAGTCTTGGTTTCAATATGCAACAGAAGCCAAAATCATGTGGATCCCGAAGGATGAAGATCCGCAAACATTCCCGAAGAAAAAAATTGACACACCAATGATGATGTTGTCGGTTTTTTGGGGCGTGAATGGCATCATCGCAATTGATATTCTTCAAAAACCTAATACGATGAATGCTCAGTATCTAATTGACAATGTTCTTACTCAAATTATCAATTCTGATGAGTTTGAGAAATCCAAACAACAAAAACAAAAGTTTGCAATTCATTTTGATAATTCAAGAGTTCACAAAAGTCATAAGGTAATGAATTACTTGGTGGAAAACAATGTCAAAGTTGTTCCAAACCCAATTTATTCACCTGATATTGTACCCTCTGACTTTTATTTATTCGGCACGCTAAAAAAGAGAGCTGAAGGACGCGAATTCGCGAGTCCAGATGATCTTGAAAATTTTGTAAGAGAGCAATTTGAGCAATTTTCTCATGATGATTTAAAGCGTGTCTTTGAAGCCTGGATCGATCGCTGCGAACGCGTGATTGAATCCAATGGTGATTATATTTAAATAAACTTTATATATATGTAACTTGTTTATTTCTATTCGCAGTATTCAGATTTGTGCTAAACACACCTTTGGACACCCTATACTATCCATTCATTGATTGATTATAAATTACGCTAAATTTCTTTGAATTCCCCAATCGAAATAAAAGTTTTGACAAATATTAAGATAAATATATAAAGATAACTTTTCGAACGAGTTTAGATTAGAACGTTTAATGTTTATTCATTAAAATCATGAATTTATAATTTTGATAATAAAATTATAAAACATAAACATTATAAAAACATTTACTAACAATAACAACAATTATACATGGGATAATTAAGAACAGAAATCCTTAAAAATCGAAATCTGACCAATCTGTTTCTTCATCTGAACAATCTGTAGCATAAGACAAGCTACTAAGTGTAAGTATTGTCTTTTTCTTTCTATGAAATCTGTTGTCGCTTTCTGTACGTGAAATATGATTTCTTCTGGTTTTCTTTTTATTGTTAAGATTCCAATTTTGTGGATCCATAGCAGCTACAGAATTATTTAATATAGCTTGCTGTAAGTCAAGTGTTTCTGCTTCAGTCATAACCATTTCTGGTTTATCCCATGGCCTTCTTACCCATGTATTTGGAATCTTTTTCGGAACAGTCTTAGTATTGTATCTTTCAATTTTCTTCCTCTCTGTTTCAGTCTGTGGCTTTGGTGGATTTGATTCAGCGATATCTAGGAGTTGGCCCGAATGAAAGTACTTGGTATTAGGATCAGTAAACATTCGACTCTCAAGGATTTCTAGGCTCTGATGCATTAATACCAAATCGTATGACTGAGTTTTTGATGAAGATTTTGCCGAATGGCTTGAAAAATCACTATCAGCTGCATCCCATGTTGGAGTAAGAATACGGCTGGGTCTATAGTCTTGAGCTGGTGGAGTTGCTGACATTTCACCAAAATCTGGAATATCAAAATCAGTATTAATTGGAGTAATACTCCTATTGTATTTATTGCGAGCAACTTTTGCAGGCGGAGGCGGGGGTGGAGCCGTTGTTTTTGAAGGAATCTTCGGTGTTTTTACAAACATCCGAAGAAAATTCTGTAAAAGCGAGGGATTTTCGACCATTTTCTTGATGGCACTCTCTAAGGCCGGTGAAGACTTAAACACATTCACAGGAGGATCCTTCAGAGGCTCCTGTATGTTAACTTGCTGCATCACGAGCGCCATTCCGAAATTTTCTATTCCAGAAAGTTCACTTTATTTAAAATCCAATTTTAATTAATAATCGGATTCAGCTCCGAAAATAGATTATATTGTTGTGGTTAAGTACGATCAATGTTGCTATCCGATAAAAATTAACAACCTTTGATAATGAGATCTTGATTGTATGAGGAAAATTATTATCGGTGATATAATTTAGCTATATCAGTGCTCGCTTGCTGCAACTTTCAAGATTCGAAATCAAATTTCCTTATTGAACGCTAAATTAAAGGATTTAAATGGAGTTGATAAATATTTGCTGAAAAGAATTATATTTCCTAATGAATTAATCGATTTCAAAAAAGAGTATTTCAATAAACATTTGAAAACTGCGTTAAAGAGTAAACATAGTTCTGCAATGGTCATGAAATTCTATTTCAAAGCGATAGGATTAAACTTTTTGTGTTTTCGAAAAGAAATTCCTAATAATTTTGTTTTCGATCTTAATTATTCATTCATTGTTGTTTTTACGAAAGACTTAAAGGAAAAGAATAGATGTATTGTACATTTTCTAATTTTGAATGATTTCGATATTCATAATATCCGAATCTGGTGAATTTATATAGAATAATAAGAGGAAACTCTTATATGCTAGTACATGTATAATAAGTGTATATACTTTGTATTCTTTCCTTGATGGTACAAGTATTTGGTAAGATTTGGTCAAAAATGATTTAAATCATCCGAAGAAAATTAAATCATTTACCAAGTACTTGGTATGATTTATCTTTGTGAGTGCTGCATTTAATGACTGTAGAAATGATTTCATTTCTGATAAATGCAAATAGACCTTGCAACGTATCTATTAATCGTAAAATCGAGGCTGGAAATCAATTACTTTTGATGATTTAAAATTATTCGAATATTCGTATTATTTATATTTTGAGTTTGTATAATCAATTGATCAGAAATAAGCTGAATAATTATACTTTGGAAAGCTGAGTAAGTCAATAAGTAGTGATAAAAGAAATTATTCAATGAACTACTATGAGATTATTATCAATTATCGTTTCATTTGGAATCGAATGATTTTGCGAGAAATATTTTGATGAATTTGGAAAACTAAAAAAATTACTTCTATTTGTGAGAATAGACAATTTAATTTGGTTTATACTTAGTTGTTTCCTTATTGTCAATGCTTATGAAGCAATTATTTATTGTGCATTGTTGTAGATAACAATAATTAGTTAATATTTGAAATGTTTGAAAATTGTTCATATTTTTGATAACTAATTGGAGAACGTCGCTCTAATAGATAAAGGAGTCGCTGAAAGGTATGAAGTTCATGTGGTATTGTAAATAATTAATGCATTTAATGTTTTAAGTGTTAAAAGACCATTTGGCTGGAATAAATGCATTAAATATTGTGTTGGAATTTTTAACAATTGAAACATTAAGATAGACGAATGATAGGGCTTTGACAAGTCAGGAATAATAATAACTACATTAACTGAGGCAATTGTTTCTTCGGCTATGAAGAAAGAAATATGGTTGTTCGAAAATCAAATTGAAGATTGAATTCTTTTGGGTTGTGCTGTATTTAATCATAAATTAAGGAATTAGCTATTCATATGCAATCTTAATAAAACTCTATTACTGCAATGGTTGTAGCTGGCGCTATATATAGATCCTATAGAAATAGAAAAAGTATATGTCACTTTTCTTTTTAAAATTCTGTAAAATTCACAATGTTCCTTCACGGGCTTCACTTATTATTTTCAGAGGACACCAAATTCATGATTATTGGTCATTATAGACGATAAGTAAATTAGTCAAAATTACATTCAATAAATGTATCATTAGTTGTGACTTTCTGAGGACCTTCTTCACCAAATATATACGTGAAGAATGTGAAATAAGCTTGTGTATATCCGATTGGTATCTATCTAAATCCATTTATGATATTTTTAAAAGTTCTTATTCTTATGTTGGTAATTCTCATCAAAAGTCATTATCAGAAGTTTAATGCTATGGGTAAAATAATTGGCTTATGGTTTGCATTGCACAAGGAATATTTAACAGCAGAGCGATTATAATTCCTGAATAAGATTATCACAAGTAATTCATGTAATTTTAATTGCCCAAATGATACGTGAAGATAGGGAATCACATTGAGCAATCCCTTTGATAATTATGATAATAATATATTTACATCACACTAATTTTAGAATGATAGCAATTATCATACATTTTAGTAAAGTTTAAATGAGAAAATTCATAGAAAGAGCTTTCAATTAGTAAGATTTAAAATTTAGAATCAATACTTCTTTAAACTAAGGCAACAAAGCATTCACGTAAGTGATACTTTGTATTTCTCCTATTATTTGTTCAGTTATATTTGTATATTATATGTAATAGGTCTCGGTAAGATCAAATCATCTAAAGCATATAGTTTTTTTGTCACTCGGATTAAATTTTCTAAAATATACTAGAAAACGTAAAAATGAGTGATAGTAAGGAAAGATGATAGTAATTTCGATCTAATTTTCAAATTTTGAGTAGCAATGATTCATATTTTTAGGAAACATCTATTAATCATTAAAGTAGCTGAACAAACAAATGTAATCTTCTTAACAAATATCATTGTTCTAAACCAAATTGAATGAAAATATTCCAAAAAATCTATCCAATAGCTTTGAGAATATAATAAGTACTAATAATAAATAGTAATGTGACTAATCAGACTATATCTCATATCAAAATGGCGAATCTGTGAATGATTTCGATGCGAAAAATGTCAAAACTAATGCGAAATTTTCTGATACTTTTTGTGTTTAGCATCAATTCGGCTAACAATATGGTTTCCATTTTAAAACGTTAAAAACCATTTTTTCAATCTCAAAAAGAATTGAAGATGTAAACTAATTTTTTTTTCTAGAAAAGTAGATGATGTTCAATAAATCTTCCGACATCCAAACTCTTTTAGAAGAGTTATCGGCCAAGGAAGAAGCTAGGTCTATCGAAGTGAAGCAGAAATATGATATTTTATCGCAAAAACTTACAGAACAGAACATGGAAATTCCGAGTTTAAACTCAGAAATCACGATAGGTGATGAGCTCACCTTGAAATGCATGACTGCCAAGAAGAAAACTACAGTTATTCGTACTTCTGGAACAATCGACGATTTTATTGGAAATGTTAAGATTGGCTATGGATCGGAATGCCCTCATAAATCGAGTATTCAAGTCGGATATAGAGATGACTCAGGAAGAATTGTTTATTTGCGTACTACCCAAGACTTAACTTATTTATACAAATGGTATTTCGCACAAGAACCTTCATCAGTTCCTGTTGTAATACTTTCAGAAGAAGAGACCGAACTCTTCAAGAAGTTCAATTTTAGGAGAGAGTCCCTAAATAAGGATGGACAAAGCGCTATCTTCAGATGTGAAGCGGGAGGCCCAGACAAGCCTCTTATATTAATAGCAATTCCTAATCTCAACTATAATGATGGAAAGAAGTTCCTGGATGGAATTTTCCAAAAAGTTTCAACAATTATGTTTGTCGACGAGGCTGAAGATATGATTACAGTTGATTCTCAAGAATCATGGGACTACTTCATGGAGACCGGTATGGCTATGACCAAGACTGGAAATTATCCGCTTCTTATTTTACAAACTGCGTAATCCGTCAATTATTTTTTTTGCAAATACATACCCCAGCGGATGTGCTTGGGGTTAAAAGGCGAATAAACTATATTAATTTTGATCTTATACACAAATTTATGTTATCCCCATTCATTCTTCATTTCACTTCCTTAAACGTTTTCTTTCTTAACATGATAAGAAAATCTTTTTAAAACTTATTGAAAACTTCGACTTTTTTCATTAATCGTTTTTTAGGCGAAAACCTTCTAACAAAACAAGCTTATTTAGCATAAGCATCCTGATACATTTAAGGAATTAGAGTACTTTTGTTTTCATCCGAATCAATATCATAAGGGATTAAATAATAATAATTTCAAAATAGGAGTTCGACCAAGTTTTGTAATTTATTTGAAATAATGACTATAACGGGACTTTATCCTCTAAAGCAAATATATAAACTCGTTTAGAAAAAAAAATGTCTGAGATGACACAGCAAGCGCTGATCACTGCCTTGATCAACAAAGGTAATGATCTAATCACGCTTGCTAAAGGGGCATTTATTTTTCGTGCATCCGTTGCTTACGTTGTCCAACAAGTTCACCAATTTTTAACATCTATCAAAGGAATCTCATCTACAACTTGGTCTGCAACACAAATTCAGGCATTAAGACAAGTACAAGAACTATTCAACCACTTTGCATCGCTTTTATCCCATTTGGCAAATGATAAATGGATTCAACCAGCTCTTAACTGGCCCGCAGACTACGTTCACAAGTATATCGATGGCTTTAGACAAAGTTTACTTACACTAATACCACAATTTGGATTGGCTACATCAATAATTCAATTTGATGAGCAGCAAGAACAAGTTAACAAGCGCGCAGATCTCAAGAATCTCAAACAGTCATTGCAAGAAATCATGGCTAAGATCGATACTTCTGATGCTGTTGGCGTTCAACAACAAATTGAAACAAAATTAGCCGAAGTCAAACGCTTATTACCACAAGAGTCTTCCACACGAAGGCGCAACAATCAGCGACGTCCGTCATGCAACGGCTTTCCTGTTGCGCAAATGCAGAAGCGAGTTGAAGAGTTATTAGGCCAATTCAAAAACATCAACATTCCTCTTGAAGATATCCGCATGGATTCGCAAATAGGTGCTGGCGGATTTGGAACCGTCTTCAAAGCTACGAGATTATCAACAGGCGAAGTAGTTGCAGTAAAAGAATTACGTAGAGACAGATTAACGATGTCATCATGGGCATCATTATACGCAGAGGTCGAAACAATGGCTTCTGTTCGTCACCAATTTGTTTTGGAGCTTGTCGGAGCTCATATTACTCAACCTTATCGAATTATTACGCGATTTTGCCCAGGCAAGTCATTATTCGACAGATTACATCGATTAGGACCAAACGGAGTCCCTCTTACAGCCAACGAACTTACCAAAATCGCTTACCAAGTCGCATTAGGCATGTCTCACCTCCATTCCATGAATATTGTTCACAGGGACCTCAAGACATTGAATATATTATTGGATGAGTACAACGATGGCTTCGTAGCCGATTTCGGACTCTCAGGAATTATGAAAGATAATCAAGAGCTCGTTGGCGGCGTCGGAACCCCTCATTACACTGCACCCGAAGTACTTATGCATTCCAGATATGGTCCAAAGGTCGATACATTCTCCTACGGCGTAGTTCTTTGGGAAATGTTGATGAGAAAAGTGCCATACGCTGAAATGTCGCAAGTACAAATTTACGAGCATGTTGTTACACGTGGCTGGAGACTTCCTATTCCAAACGATACTCCTGACGGTATGAAGAAGCTCATCACTCGTTGTTGGAACAAAAATCCAAACGACAGACCGAATTTCGATGAAATTATCGATCTTTTTGAAAACGGAGAAATATATTTCCCAGGAACAGACATCGCACAAAACGACACCGGGAAATCACCGAAATGCTCAATCTCTTTCTCCGTTATCAAGAAGACACATCATTGTCCACCTTTGGACTTCGATTACGTCGAACAGATTCTTAAAGATCCTTCGAACGCCATGTTCACTTCTGTTTCTTATTTCATTGCTAACAAATACGATGACAAAATAAGGAATTGGCTGAGAACAATGAAGATCGTTCCTAACTTGGTTGGATGCCAATCAAACCTTGATTCAATCCTTTTGTTAGCAAGTGTCGCGTTGGATGAAAGCGAGTTCGAAAAATTCCTTTCAAACGGAGGACTCGAAATGTTCCATGCATGTGTCGAAACACCAAAGGGAACTTCGATGTCCGCTGCTGTTAAATTCGGTTTGAAAGTGCCTGTCAATCAATTGGTTAAACTACAACCATATCTCCCTAAAATCGTTGGTTTCTTGAGTCCAAATGGTGGCTCAACAAACGAACACATTATTCAGTTCCTTACTCGATTTGATTCAGAAGTTTTGAGTGACTTTTGGAGTAAAATCGGGCCAGCATTAATCCAAATCAGTGCTGATGTTGAAGACCAAGAAGCCTTCAATGCAATTGCTGTTTTGTTGAAGCCATGTTGCCAAACAATGAATCCAACACAAATGAGATGTTTCTATCATTTGTTGTGCGAAAAATTCATTGTTCCTCCCGCTTTTGTTCAAACATTAATTCAAGCAAATGATGGGCAATTCAGGTCTGATTTGATATTCTGTATTTTAAAGGCCACGGAATTATCAAACATCTCCAATATTTTGATAAAATTCTTGCAGGATTGTCTTAAAAATGATCCTGATGTTTTCAAGAAACTTATCAAGATTCCTGATTTGTTTTCAACATTGGAAGACTTGATACAAAAAGAACATGACAGAGGAGCTTTATTTGTTTTGTTCTGTATCTGCAATATCGATGAAGTTCGCGAGAAACTCGCTGATTCTTCATTGATAAATACAATTTTGCAGATGAAAGAACATGTTGTACAAAGACTCCAAATATTTACAATATTATGTCTATCAGAGAAATATTGTAAAAAGACAAAACACATGGATGGAATCATCCAGTTATTAGTTACAGCGCTTTCAGATAAAAACCACGTAAATGCCGCTGTAAGATTAATTGGTGCTTTGTCTTCTCATCCAGCAGGAGTTCCTGTTTTAACAGATAATGGTGTTTTGGAATTATTCGCGCAGTTGTTTTTGTCTTCCGCTTCAGGAGACACAACAACAAACCACACAATCATGAGAAATGTGGCTGAAAACGGAGGTGAAATTCCTCAAGTTTCTTTGATTGTGTCTTGTTTGATGCAGGATTTCGTTAATGATGTAGTTCATCGATGCGAAATCATGGAAACTGCTGTTAGTTTGGTCCACACTGTTCCTAATTGCGTTCAAGAACACGATTTACTAAAAATTGTGTTGCCACAAGTCGCAATTTCTGATCAGCCGAGATTAGTTTATTTATCTCTTAAACTTCTCTCTGTAAGTGACACAACAAAACTCAAATCATTTTACCAGCAGATATTAAGAGCAATTTGCATCGTGTTGGAAACTCCGAAGTTGATGTATCCTGAAATAATTGAGGTGGCTTTGCAAACTGTAAGAGCAATTGGCGAACAATTCAACTTGGCTGAGTTTATTGAAAAGGCAAAGCTTGTTGATTTCGTCAACCACGTTGTTTCATTGATGCCTGAGAACGATGTCACAGGAAACAGATTAATTATACTGGCAAGAAACTTGGGTCAACCTGAAAATAGTATATTATCATAAGCTTTTTTTATTATTATATTTTTTTGTAGAAATATTAAAAATCATGTTTATTTAGATGCATAATACAGTTTTTTATAGCGATTTTTTAAAGCGTACAAAAAAAATTCTACGTCAAAAAAAAAGGACGATAGACCTCAATTTTAGGCAGGACTTGCTTTGTTCTTGAATATACCATTGATCAAAGCATAGTATAAGTATTATATTGAGTGTACGGATCCACTTTTTAGTTATATATGTTATCGATAGTCCTTTGGAAAAGTTCATTTCTAAACAGTTATATTATAAATACTTTGAGATATAGTGCATTCATAGATCATAATTGTTTATTACTTATATCGAGATAGATCCAATTTTGAAAGAATGTGGCAAGTGAAAAAATTATAGGTTCGGTTTTTGATAAAAGTAATTCTTAGAAAAGCAATTTTCACATCATCAAATGTTTTTATTTATTAGTATGTAATGCAGCACTACTTTAATTTTGGCGAGTATTCATATTTAAACAGCGAATTCGTAGATTCTGACAATACAAATTATAATTCCACATCAGTTACATTTCGATATCCTTGTACTAATTCACAAAACTGCTCTGGTTTCGAAATCAAACTTAATCCTGGAAAATATTTGTTTGAAGTCTTTGGAGCTCGAGGCTCAGATATGTCGTGTGCGCCCCTTCCATCAGGATATGGTGGTTACGGGCGCGCAGAAGTCATTATTCCAAATAAAATTCCCATTTATCTGTATGTAGGATCAAGCGGAGAATGGAATTCTAATGGTCCTAGTCCTCCTTCATTCAATGGTGGTGGTCCTGGATTCAATGCAGGCTCAGGCGGTGGTGCTACAGACTTCAGAATGTCAAAAAATGACACACATACACGATTTCTGATTGGGGGTGGTGGAGGGGGACGGGGTCATATAGGGGAAAAATGTTCGAAAAAGCTCCATGAAATAATAACTTATCCATATGGATACAATTATGGTGGTGGAGAAAATGGAGCTAACGCTAGTGGTTCGACTGGTGGAACGCAATATGGACCAGGAATGGGATTTCGGTCGGGCTCATTTGGAAGTGGATGTGAACTGCATACACTAGGACGTCACGGAGGTTCCGGAGGGGGATTGTATGGAGGAGGTTGTGGTAGAGATTCAGGAGTTGATGGTGCTGGCGGATCTGTATTTGTTTATTCTGATCATAGAACTCCAGATATTTATGAAATAAAATCCATTAAGATTTCTAACGGAACACTTATTAGTGGCAGAAACTTGGAGAATGGATATGCCATTATCTCTTTATTGTCTTTATTTACAGATATCCCAAACAAAAGATTTTGTTTGTCTCAAATTTCTTGTAAGAACTTCGGCCTTCTCGCGTCTCCATTGCTGACAATAATACACCTTTTACGACGTTGATATTTCTATATTTAATGATAGATATATTGTACAATTATAAATAAAATATACATTTATCATAAAAATCTATTTGAAGGAAATACCTCAATCTATTTGTTTTCTCATGGTTAAAACTAGGGACAGCGTCACGAGGCTTCACAAGCTCCGTCGCCAATCCAGCATTTACAATAATATTCTATAAATTTTCTGAGAAGTTAACTTGAATTAACCAAAATTATCCAATTCATAAGTATTATAATTATGGATCATTAAAATGCAATCAAACATGTATTGTTATGTAGTCGAATTTGTAAGAACAATTAGTTTCAAGAGGAAAATTTTCAATCTTTGAAAATGACGTTTAAAAATTCATGACGTGGGAACCAAACGAAATCTATACAACAGAATCTCATATTGAGCAAGAAGGCGGCGAAAATAGCGATTATGTTATCATGAAAAAGCTTGATCACTTCTTCAGAACATTTCGTACAGAAGATGGAACATCATCAATGAGAGATCAGATCCAGGGATGTCTTCACGCGCCAAATCCTTCAGTTACAGTTAGTTTAGATGCTATTATGGGCTATGATAATCAATTGGGCCATTTAATTTTCAATGAACCAGAAAGATGTTTAGAACTTTTCGAACAAGCTGTTACTAACTACGCAAAAGAAATTACAGAAGATGTTCCACCAATTCAAATTCTCCTTACAACAAATTCTGAGCCAACACCTTTAAGAGAAATAGATTCGAACTTAATTAAGAAACTTATTGTTGTTCCAGGTCTTGTTATATCAACAACACCTGTTTCATCACGTGCTACAGAAATTAAGGCTGTCTGCTCGGGTTGCGGACATATTTTAACAATTTCATGCAAGAACTCCGGCTTCCAACTTCCAAGGAAGTGCCAGAGACCAAGGCCAAAAGAAGGAGGTCCAGCTGTTGCCGGTGGTAGCTGTCCACTTGATCCATACACAATTTTACCAGATAATTCTACTTTCACAGATTATCAGTTTATCAAAATACAGGAAGCACCAGAAGATGTTCCACCAGGTGAAATGCCAAGACACATTTCTGCCAGTGTTGATCGTGCTCTTTCAAATAATCTTATTCCAGGTACAAGAAAGCTCTTTGTTGCCATTCTTCAGATGATGAAAATCAACGATAAAGTACAGAAGCAAGTCCTTCGCATTGTTGGTATTGTTGATCCAATAGTAGAAGAACTTAATACAAAATCAGTTTCAGAATTATCCGCACAATTCCCCAACAGAGAAGCCATCATCAAGGCCTTCGCACCAGAAATTTACGGTATGCAAGATGTTAAGGAAGCTATCTGCTGCCAATTGTTCTCTGGTGTCAGAAAGAATTTACCAGATGGAATGAAGATTCGTGGTGACATTAACGTTCTTCTTCTTGGTGATCCATCAGTTGCCAAGTCACAGTTGCTTAAGTTCGCACACAGTGTTACTCCTATTGGTGTCTATACATCAGGTAAAGGTTCCTCGGCTGCTGGTCTCACAGCAACAGTTGTTCGCGCAAAAGGAAGTGGTGAATTCTTCCTTGAAGGCGGTGCAATGGTTCTTGCAGATGGTGGTCTTGTTTGCATCGATGAATTCGATAAGATGAGAGAAGATGATAGAGTTGCAATCCACGAAGCAATGGAACAACAGACAATTTCTATTGCAAAGGCCGGTATCACAGCAGTTTTGAACACAAGAACAGCTGTTCTCGCTGCTGCTAACCCAGTAAGTGGTCGCTTCGATGATCTCAAGACTGCGAGAGATAATGTTGACTTCCAAACAACAATTTTGTCACGTTTCGACTTGATTTTCGTTTTGAGAGATGTTAAAGATGAAGCACGTGATAGAAACATTGCCGAGCACGTTTTGAAGATCCACACAGGTGCAGGCGCTGAACAGACAAATAATACTCAGACTGGTGATCTCAAGAAGTTCATCCAACATGTTAGAGCTCATTGCAATCCATCACTTGGCGATGCAGCGAACAATTTACTTAAATCTGAGTATGTACAGATGCGTTCTCAGATAGATAACACACAGAGTATTCCAATTACAGTTAGACAACTCGAAGCTCTCATCAGAGTTACAGAGAGTTTAGCTAAAATGGAACAGAAAGATGAATGTAAAGAAGAACATGTTAGAGAAGCAATTAGACTCTTTAAAGTCTCTACATTCAATGCTGCTTCTACTGGAATTCTCGCTCCAGAAGGACCAATGACAGATGAACAGCGCCAGGAAGTCAATAAAGTTCAGGATTACATTAATAGAAGATGCCCTCTTTCAAGTAGAATTAATGAAAGTGCTTTGATCGCGGAATTAAAGAGAAAGTTCACTGATTTTGCAATTGTTAGAGTTATACAGACAATGCTCTATAGAGGTGAGTTCGAATATTGCAATAATAGAAGATCCCTCAAAAGAGCTCGTGCCGATGAAAAAGATACTGACTAAATTTTTTTATTTTAGATTTGAATATACTCAGAATTACAAAGTTTTTTATTATTACTGTTGTTGCTCTTGGAGTCAACTAGGTTATCGATAATATTTATTACAATGATTCCATATCTCTCTTTTCGAAAGAGATCATTCAATAATATTGAAACGAGATTATGAAAGGAATGATAAGCATATGAAGCCATGGATTGTACGAAAGGGAAGATAATGATTTGAAATATGGATTAATGTTCAATGAAAGAAATTCAGTATTCATTTCTATTTGAAATGAAAAGAAAGATAATTTCACATAGCAATTATTGATACAAAGAGAAAAATTATTGCAATTAGCATTGAAATCCTACGAATTTTTGAATGAATTGATCTTTGATGGAAATTTTATCAGAAAATATCTTCAGGAAATGAAATACATGTGATGCTTCGGAATGTTAATCAACCATACATATCTATTTATAATTTCATATGAATTCAAGATATGAAATTTTTTAATTTTGAATTTTTTTGTTAAAATGTCTGATAAATTTAAATCATTACCAGATAAAACTCTTACCGCTTTAGTTCACTTAGTTTGAAATTAATAAAAATAATAAATTTAAATAAAGAGGTTGACTTGAAGATTTTACTTATCAATTGGAATGGTAGCCATTGTAGCAACACCACACTGGTTAGCCTTGTCCTTGATCATACGGATGTAGCCGTTCTCGCCCCAACCGTTGCCCCAAGAGTTGCGAACGATACAGTAGCTTGTGCTGCCTTCTGTGCCGTAGCCAACGCAGCCAACACCATGGTCGAGCATAACTGGGGAGCAGGATGGTTCATCATAAATGCCCTGAGAGTAGAGTTGGAATGAGAAGTGGGAAGCATCGATAGCGATAGCAGCTGGGCCCATTGTTGAAACCTTGCTAGCAAGATCGTGTTCATCTTGTTCATTAACGTTATAATAGGAAACAATCTTAGAAACAGCCTTATTCTTGTCGAACTTGCATGATCCACCAACAGCGGAGTATGGGTAATCCTTCTCTAACATGAACTTTCCATCCTGATGTTTGATAACCCAATCGTAAGCGTTGATCATAAGACCGCCATTGCAGCCGTGGCATGATGTAGTGCAGTCAACAAGGTTTTGTTCGGAAAGCTTTTGAAGGTTGCCGTAGCAAATAGCGTATTGGGATTCCTGAGCCTGGATAGCAGAGAAAGCCCAGCAAGAACCGCACTGGCCCTGATCCTGGATTGGGTTTACAACACCTTTCTCACGCCAGTCAATTTTATCGTTTGGAACAGCGTTGGATTTGACTGCCTGGTAATGCATGGCGTTTGGCTTGAAACCGAGGAGTGCGCGGTACTCAGCTGGTGTAAGGTGAGCAAGCTTGTTAAGGGCTAATGTGAAGCCGAGGTTAGCGCGGTTGTGCTCCTGAACAAGGCGCTTGTTAGCAAGCCAGATGCCAAGGCGTGTCTGGTATTCTTCGCCTGTGAAGATGTTGCCTGTCTCGCGCATCCATCCGAGGAAGGTTTTCTGCTCATGTTGTTGAACAAATATTTGTAGAAATGAAGTCTTTTTCCAAAAATTGACAATTTTCGAATTTGAATTAATCTTTGGAAGAAAAAAGTTAATATTGATATAATACTGCTAAATAATTTGAGTGTCAGATATTGTATATTATCAATCAAACAATTGAATTTTGAAAAGGCAGTTCTGGTTTGAATACTTCACTTAATGTGTGATTGATTGAGCTACCCGATGTGTGTGAAATAATATTTATTTTCAGATTCGTAATTCAGATTCAATTTTTATCCAATTTTTTTATCGACATTAATTTTGGAGGAGAAAAAAAAATAAAGGAATGGGAACGTCGGAGGGGATGGCTCTTGTAGTTTCAAATTGGAGCCAGTCTGAGTTTTCCGTTAGCTAAAGATTCGCTTATTCAATTTTTCGAAATAAATTGTTCATATTACAAGAACCCATAAAAGGTACCTGCTATTGCTAAACGATGATCTATTTATACCCGAATCAAGAGATCCATTATTAATCATATTTGAAAATCATTAAATTAGTTCAGTATGGTCTGTTGCATTTATTATTATTCCTCTGTAATTTTCTGATAAATCCAAAATACCTAAGTTATGAACTTACATTTGGAGATTTTTAATATCAAAAATTTTTTGAGACAATAAACATCTTCTTATAACATATATCTATATGTAAAATAAGAAAATATTTTGATATGCATTTATTCATGCGTTAAAGAAAAAGAATATATCATCTGGGATTATTACTGAATTAATTTAAGTATATCATAAAAATTGATTGTTAGACATGTCAAAATTGATGGATGATATAATATTCGTTGTAATATAACTTATGGAAGCAGGAAATCATATTTCATTTGAGAGTCTAAATCAGAGAATAAAAAAATTAATTTGAAATCAATCCTGATGCAGAGATTGCTTCTTTCTAAGAGAAGGATGGATTCGCATGGTGGCGTGCGAGATTACAGAGAATGGCTGAATTGTATCATACATTGAGAGTTTGATTGATTTTTTTTATTTCTCCAACATTTGTGATGTAAAGTTTGATAATTCCGGAGAAGAACAAATACATTAAAATTATTTTTCTGATAGTATTGTTGCATGGCATATGAAAATCGATGAATCTAAAATTGATTTTTCAAATTTTTGCAAGAATTCAAGAATCTTCATCGCCACATGCTTTTTATATCGAATTCTTCAATGCAGTACAATAAATTCTCTAAGAGTTAGATTCCCTTAGATTCCTAGAGGTGTGCCCGTACGCAAAGTAATGATAGTTTCACAGTAGGTACTGTACCTATATTTGTTACCATCGTTTCAGATCAAACATGCTTATCTTCTTATTCTCCCACTCAATTTGCTATACAAAACCGGCCACTACTGTAATTATTTTATATAGTATTGAGTCCTGCTTTCAATATTTTGCTCAAAAATTATGGTTCTATAAGATCTTACGGTACGAATTTATCGTTTTTTCAATAATTGAAATTTCAAAATCTTATTATCAAGCATAAGGATAACAATTTTCGAAGATTTCTATGGTTTCAAATTGAGAGGAACTTAAATCTTCGTCTCTCAAATTTTGGCCAATTCATTCGAAAAAAAATTATTCTATTCCCGATAGAAAAAAAATTAACTATCATTTAACTTTTCGTATGGAAGGCTCATTCGAGGTTACCTTCTACTTAAAGTGCGATAAAGGTGGTAGCAGCATACCATACATCATTGGAGACCACCCAGCTCTCGGCAACAACGTCATCAGCGACGCAATTACTTTGACTCAGATTAACGGACCTTACAATTACTCCGTTAAGATCACCTTTGACGAGCCAATTACCGAACCAATCAAATACCGTTATTACTTCAAGACACAGTTCGGTGCTTACCTTAAAGAATCAATTCCTCTTCGTGTCTTGCCACTTTTTACCACAGATTCACACGTCTATGACACCTTTAATGTCACAAATCCTCTTAGCGGCGTTCTTATCCGCCTTAGGACCCGTGTATTCACACATTATGGCCAAGAACTTTATGTATCAGGCAATATCCCAGAACTTGGCAACTGGAAGTCAGATGAAGCCGTCCCACTCTTCTTCGAAGGCAATCTTGACTACTGGTCAACGACATTCATGATTCCATTGTCAACAAAGCCAAGAACAATTGAATATAAGTACATAGTCTCAAGAACAGGCGGTGTAGATTACTGGGAACCAGATGAGAACCACAAACTCGAAATCGGAGCCACTCCTTCCCCAACAATTATCGAAATCGCCGACCAGTACCGTTGGAAGGACCCAGTCATGAACGCCTTCACACGTGCAACATTCAAAGAAGTTCTCAACCGCAGAACCAACACAGTTATGCCAGATCCGATCGAACCAGAGCTTGTTCGTCCTACATTTGTAAAGACGCACTTCCAAGTGAACTGTCCATATGTCCACAGTACACAATCCGTTGTTGTCGTTGGCTCAATCCCAGAACTTGGTGAATGGAATCCATTACACGGTCTAAAACTCGAAGATGGCAAGTTCCCAATCTGGGCCAACTCCATTGACTTGAAGGCCACTTCATTCCCATTCGAATACAAGTACGTTCTTTCGAATAACGACGGAACATTTATTTGGGAAGAGCAGAACAACAGACACTGCCACGACCATCATTATCTCAATACGACGGAACAATCCCTATGACATTGTTCGTCAACGAGTGGTTTGCATGTCCAAATAAAGAGTTATTCAAAGGACTCGGCGTTTACGTTCCAATCTTCTCTCTCAGGACACAGGAATCACAAGGTATCGGATCCTACACAGATATCAAGAAACTCGTCGATATTTGCAACACAATGGGCGCATCTTTGATTCAATTACTTCCTATCAACGATACAACGGACAAAGGAGAATGGGCAGACTCATATCCATACAAACAAGTCTCATGTTTTGCATTACATCCTGTTTACATCGACTTACTTGCAATTCTCGACAAATTACCAAGCGACATCTACAATGACTTGATGTACAGGAAAGGGGAACTCGAGAGATTACCATCTGTTGACTATCCAGCAGTTTATTCCTTCAAGATGAACATTCTTAGTAGAATCTTCAAATTAGTTAAAGAAGATTTCAAAGAATCCAAAGAATTCGAAGCATTTTTGAAGAAGAATGGAACATGGTTAAAACCATATGCTTTGTTCTGTTATCTCAGAGATCAATACCATACAATGGAGTTCAGGAAATGGCCAAAATATTCCAAAGTAACTCCAGAAGAAATCGAAGATCTCTGTGATGAAAAAATCAATGATTTATTGTTCATTTATTGGATGCAATACATTGCTGACAAACAATTCAAGGAATCATATGATTACGCAACAGAACACAAAGTTGCATTGAAAGGAGATCTTCCTATTGGTGTCAACATTAATTCCGTTGAATGCTGGGCATTTCCATCATTATTCAGATTGACAATGTGTGCAGGAGCTCCTCCAGATGATTTCTCAAGCGATGGACAGAACTGGGGCTTCCCAACATACAACTGGGAAGAGATGGAGAAGGATGGATTCGCATGGTGGCGTGCGAGATTACAGAGAATGGCTGAATTGTATCATACATTGAGAGTTGATCATATCTTAGGTTTCTTCAGAATCTGGGAAATTCCAAGAGAAACATGTGTCAGAGGTTTATTGGGACATTTCTTCCCAAGTAATCCATTGACAAGACAGGAATTGATACAGATGGGATTATGGGATATCGAAAGATATACTAAACCTTACATAAGAGGAAAACATTTGCTTGAGAAGTTCCCTAACAATTATTTCGAAATCGCTCAGAAATATTTAGTCGCAAGAAATATTTCTAAAGATAATGATACTTATGATTTCAAGCCTGAATATAACAATGAAAAGAAGATTTACAATGCTGTAATGAATGAGCCATTAAATGATTGGCAAAAGAAGGAATTACTCCAGAAGTTGTTTGAATTACTTGGAAATGTTTTGTTGATTGAAGATCCAGAGAGACCAGATACTTATCACGTGAGAACAGAAGTAAAGAAGGAATCTGTTGAAACAACACCAGATGGACCAATCATTCATTGGAGTACATCATGGTTGGAATTACCTGGTGACCAGAGACAGAGATTCGAAGAACTTTATATCGATTACACATACAGAAGACAAACAAATCTCTGGGTTGCTAAAGCTGATGCAAAACTTGGTGTTCTTAAAGATTCTACAAATATGTTGATTTGCGGTGAAGATTTAGGTCAAATCACTGCAGGAATCATAAGATCTATTGAAGAACACGCTTTACTTTCTCTTAGAGTACAGAGAATGTCTAAAGATCCTGCTTATGATTTCGATGATTACAACAGATTCGCTTATCTTTCTGTCGCTTGCCCATCAACACACGACACTTCTTCGTTGAGAGGATGGTGGGAAGAGAACTCATCTGTCAGACAGAAGTTCTGGTACAATGTATTGATGAGACACGAACCATGCCCAGAGAGATTAAGTACTTACTTCCAGGAAATGATTCTCAGACAGAATCTTTGGTCAAATTCAATGTGGGCAATTTTCTTGCTCCAGGATTTGACAGGAATAAACGAAAGTTTGAGAAGACAGTCTCCTGAAGAAGAAAGAATCAACATCCCTGCTGATCCAAACCACAAGTGGAGATACAGATATCCTTACTCACTCGAAGAACTCAACGACCACAAGGAGTTCATGGCACAAATGAGAGGCTTAGTTGAGGCTTCTCACAGAATTTAAGTTTTCTTATTTTTTATATTTTTAATGATGTCTTATGATAAATAAAATTTCGACTTTTTTTTATTTAATTATGACCGATTTCCAGAATTAAGTTGCATACTATATATTCAAAATATATTAGTCACTTTTTCAGAGGAGGGACGATGATTAAAAAGTGAATATATATTTTAATAGTTGCTTGATACTTTTTTCTGTAATAAACAGAAATTCATCAAAAGTGACAGCTCTCAATTTTTTGACATTTGTAAATTCTAAATTGAATGAGAAAAATGAAATAATACTAAGCATAATACAATATTCTAGATTTAATTATAATTAGGAAAAAGTTGGTTTTGAGAGTACTTTTCATAGGCATATAGAATGAAATCTTCTGAAAAATAATATCACATAAACTCATATTATTTTCTAATATATAACTATTTTATATAAAAATCAAATTCAATGATCTTAAAAGCGAAGGATAAACCTCAAAATTTACGAATATAATGAGTGGGAATATAATGCTTATCTATCATAAAACCATATGAAATATCAATTTTTGCTTTACGCCTAATTTTTGACGACAATTAGCAAAAAATGTTAAATGTTAACACTCAGTCCATTTGAATATGAAAAATAAAATTGACTTTGATTAAATGTTTTTATTTATCATGCAATTCTTCTTGCGACCAAAGATTTGAATAAAAGTTCAAAAAATAAGATAGCTTAAAAAATAATATACGGTAGTGTTTACTAATAGATGAATAGTATATAAATTCTATTAAATGGATTTGATCCAAAAAAATATATAAAATTTGATCATAAATAAAATCGTTTTAATTACTTCTTCATTTAAATTATAACAATTATTTTTGGTTTTATATTTTTTTGGATCAAATCCATTTTAATAGAATTTATATACTATTCATCTATTAGTAAACACTACCGTATATTATTTTTTAAGCTATCTTATTTTTTGAACTTTTATTCAAATCTTTGGTCGCAAGAAGAATTGCATGATAAATAAAAACATTTAATCAAAGTCAATTTTATTTTTCATATTCAAATGGACTGAGTGTTAACATTTAACATTTTTTGCTAATTGTCGTCAAAAATTAGGCGTAAAGCAAAAATTGATATTTCATATGGTTTTATGATAGATAAGCATTATATTCCCACTCATTATATTCGTAAATTTTGAGGTTTATCCTTCGCTTTTAAGATCATTGAATTTGATTTTTATATAAAATAGTTATATATTAGAAAATAATATGAGTTTATGTGATATTATTTTTCAGAAGATTTCATTCTATATGCCTATGAAAAGTACTCTCAAAACCAACTTTTTCCTAATTATAATTAAATCTAGAATATTGTATTATGCTTAGTATTATTTCATTTTTCTCATTCAATTTAGAATTTACAAATGTCAAAAAATTGAGAGCTGTCACTTTTGATGAATTTCTGTTTATTACAGAAAAAAGTATCAAGCAACTATTAAAATATATATTCACTTTTTAATCATCGTCCCTCCTCTGAAAAAGTGACTAATATATTTTGAATATATAGTATGCAACTTAATTCTGGAAATCGGTCATAATTAAATAAAAAAAAGTCGAAATTTTATTTATCATAAGACATCATTAAAAATATAAAAAATAAGAAAACTTAAATTCTGTGAGAAGCCTCAACTAAGCCTCTCATTTGTGCCATGAACTCCTTGTGGTCGTTGAGTTCTTCGAGTGAGTAAGGATATCTGTATCTCCACTTGTGGTTTGGATCAGCAGGGATGTTGATTCTTTCTTCTTCAGGAGACTGTCTTCTCAAACTTTCGTTTATTCCTGTCAAATCCTGGAGCAAGAAAATTGCCCACATTGAATTTGACCAAAGATTCTGTCTGAGAATCATTTCCTGGAAGTAAGTACTTAATCTCTCTGGGCATGGTTCGTGTCTCATCAATACATTGTACCAGAACTTCTGTCTGACAGATGAGTTCTCTTCCCACCATCCTCTCAACGAAGAAGTGTCGTGTGTTGATGGGCAAGCGACAGAAAGATAAGCGAATCTGTTGTAATCATCGAAATCATAAGCAGGATCTTTAGACATTCTCTGTACTCTAAGAGAAAGTAAAGCGTGTTCTTCAATAGATCTTATGATTCCTGCAGTGATTTGACCTAAATCTTCACCGCAAATCAACATATTTGTAGAATCTTTAAGAACACCAAGTTTTGCATCAGCTTTAGCAACCCAGAGATTTGTTTGTCTTCTGTATGTGTAATCGATATAAAGTTCTTCGAATCTCTGTCTCTGGTCACCAGGTAATTCCAACCATGATGTACTCCAATGAATGATGGTCCATCTGGTGTTGTTTCAACAGATTCCTTCTTTACTTCTGTTCTCACGTGATAAGTATCTGGTCTCTCTGGATCTTCAATCAACAAAACATTTCCAAGTAATTCAAACAACTTCTGGAGTAATTCCTTCTTTTGCCAATCATTTAATGGCTCATTCATTACAGCATTGTAAATCTTCTTTTCATTGTTATATTCAGGCTTGAAATCATAAGTATCATTATCTTTAGAAATATTTCTTGCGACTAAATATTTCTGAGCGATTTCGAAATAATTGTTAGGGAACTTCTCAAGCAAATGTTTTCCTCTTATGTAAGGTTTAGTATATCTTTCGATATCCCATAATCCCATCTGTATCAATTCCTGTCTTGTCAATGGATTACTTGGGAAGAAATGTCCCAATAAACCTCTGACACATGTTTCTCTTGGAATTTCCCAGATTCTGAAGAAACCTAAGATATGATCAACTCTCAATGTATGATACAATTCAGCCATTCTCTGTAATCTCGCACGCCACCATGCGAATCCATCCTTCTCCATCTCTTCCCAGTTGTATGTTGGGAAGCCCCAGTTCTGTCCATCGCTTGAGAAATCATCTGGAGGAGCTCCTGCACACATTGTCAATCTGAATAATGATGGAAATGCCCAGCATTCAACGGAATTGATGTTGACACCAATAGGAAGATCTCCTTTCAATGCAACTTTGTGTTCTGTTGCGTAATCATATGATTCCTTGAATTGTTTGTCAGCAATGTATTGCATCCAATAAATGAACAATAAATCATTGATTTTTTCATCACAGAGATCTTCGATTTCTTCTGGAGTTACTTTGGAATATTTTGGCCATTTCCTGAACTCCATTGTATGGTATTGATCTCTGAGATAACAGAACAAAGCATATGGTTTTAACCATGTTCCATTCTTCTTCAAAAATGCTTCGAATTCTTTGGATTCTTTGAAATCTTCTTTAACTAATTTGAAGATTCTACTAAGAATGTTCATCTTGAAGGAATAAACTGCTGGATAGTCAACAGATGGTAATCTCTCGAGTTCCCCTTTCCTGTACATCAAGTCATTGTAGATGTCGCTTGGTAATTTGTCGAGAATTGCAAGTAAGTCGATGTAAACAGGATGTAATGCAAAACATGAGACTTGTTTGTATGGATATGAGTCTGCCCATTCTCCTTTGTCCGTTGTATCGTTGATAGGAAGTAATTGAATCAAAGATGCGCCCATTGTGTTGCAAATATCGACGAGTTTCTTGATATCTGTGTAGGATCCGATACCTTGTGATTCCTGTGTCCTGAGAGAGAAGATTGGAACGTAAACGCCGAGTCCTTTGAATAACTCTTTATTTGGACATGCAAACCACTCGTTGACGAACAATGTCATAGGGATTGTTCCGTCGTATTGAGATAATGATGGTCCGTGGCAGTGTCTGTTGTTCTGCTCTTCCCAAATAAATGTTCCGTCGTTATTCGAAAGAACGTACTTGTATTCGAATGGGAATGAAGTGGCCTTCAAGTCAATGGAGTTGGCCCAGATTGGGAACTTGCCATCTTCGAGTTTTAGACCGTGTAATGGATTCCATTCACCAAGTTCTGGGATTGAGCCAACGACAACAACGGATTGTGTACTGTGGACATATGGACAGTTCACTTGGAAGTGCGTCTTTACAAATGTAGGACGAACAAGCTCTGGTTCGATCGGATCTGGCATAACTGTGTTGGTTCTGCGGTTGAGAACTTCCTTGAATGTTGCACGTGTGAAGGCGTTCATGACTGGGTCCTTCCAACGGTACTGGTCGGCGATTTCGATAATTGTTGGGGAAGGAGTGGCTCCGATTTCGAGTTTGTGGTTCTCATCTGGTTCCCAGTGATCTACACCGCCTGTTCTTGAGACTATGTACTTATATTCAATTGTTCTTGGCTTTGTTGACAATGGAATCATGAATGTCGTTGACCAGTAGTCAAGATTGCCTTCGAAGAAGAGTGGGACGGCTTCATCTGACTTCCAGTTGCCAAGTTCTGGGATATTGCCTGATACATAAAGTTCTTGGCCATAATGTGTGAATACACGGGTCCTAAGGCGGATAAGAACGCCGCTAAGAGGATTTGTGACATTAAAGGTGTCATAGACGTGTGAATCTGTGGTAAAAAGTGGCAAGACACGAAGAGGAATTGATTCTTTAAGGTAAGCACCGAACTGTGTCTTGAAGTAATAACGGTATTTGATTGGTTCGGTAATTGGCTCGTCAAAGGTGATCTTAACGGAGTAATTGTAAGGTCCGTTAATCTGAGTCAAAGTAATTGCGTCGCTGATGACGTTGTTGCCGAGAGCTGGGTGGTCTCCAATGATGTATGGTATGCTGCTACCACCTTTATCGCACTTTAAGTAGAAGGTAACCTCGAATGAGCCTTCCATACGAAAAGTTAAATGATAGTTAATTTTTTTTCTATCGGGAATAGAATAATTTTTTTTCGAATGAATTGGCCAAAATTTGAGAGACGAAGATTTAAGTTCCTCTCAATTTGAAACCATAGAAATCTTCGAAAATTGTTATCCTTATGCTTGATAATAAGATTTTGAAATTTCAATTATTGAAAAAACGATAAATTCGTACCGTAAGATCTTATAGAACCATAATTTTTGAGCAAAATATTGAAAGCA